TTTAAAACTATCAATTTTATACTTAGAATCGTATATTATTTCTGCGTTAATCAATTAAGCAACTCATATAATTAATACAAAATACAGAAGAAGCGGACCTATCACTAATTTTAACCTATAACTAACGAGTATTGTCGATTCGTCCAAATTGTATTGTTAATTGTATTGTATTCTTATGAATGCTGATGAAATACAACAAAATATCAATCATCATACGTACACCTGGACCTATATCATTTAATGATAAATGAGTACTGAGATTTTTTTTATTTTTTTTTTCATATATTTGTTGTTGTTAAGTAATATTCATCCACTATTAATGGTTTTCGTTTATTTAATAAGAAAATATTTAGTTTATTTTGTGACTGTGAGTGATTTGAGAATTATAGGAATGGATTGTCAATGCATTGGAAGTTAAAAATAATATTTCAAACCTTTTTATAAGTATTTAATTGTTATGTATAAAAATTGACCGTTCATCAGTAAAGTGGTATATCATAAATATATCAGTATAACTATAATTAACTTGGACATTTTTGTATATTGTTCGTGTAGGTCAAAAACTATTCATAATAATACGTTGGATTAAATTCAAAGACAATAATTGAAATCTTATAATTGAATTTTACCTTGGGAATGAAGTGAGGATAATATTAATTTCGAAAAATTTCGGATTTCAGTGATAAAATCTAACCAGGTATTTTCAATCAAACGCCTGAGGTTTCTGCTATTTTTTACTTTTTTTTTTTTTTTTTTTGATTAACTCATGATATTTTTCGAAACTATAAATAATCATAGAACTGGTTAAAAATTGTGAACCACAAAAACGATGTATTAACGTATGTAGGCATTTAATTATGTATCGAAAAAAGGTGACACGTGTATTCTGCCGCATTGCGCATCGTGGCACTCCGAGTAAAGAAAATAAATACGAAAAACGGAGTCATGCTGTTATTTTATTTATAATATTTTGTTAGAAGCATATACTTTGTTCTCTCTGTTACGGTATTAAAAGATTATCTGAAAAGTTATTTAATATCACTCAAAAGCATCACAGATTGTACACTTAAGATAAACTACACCACAACACATTACAAATCGGTTGTTTCCTAGCTATTGATTTCTATCGGTTACGTTAGTGGAGAGAAAGGGCACGTCACTTAGTAGGGAATTGTCGGTTATAGAGTTATTCTTAAAAAAAAAACTACCATGTGTTTATATTTAAGTTTTTAGAGTTGCTTTAAAATAAAAGAAACACAACGAATCGCACGAAAAAAAAATATACGTGTTTGTAGGAACGTAGTGTAAAATATTTACACATATTATACAGGGCAAGCAGTCAGTATATCGCATGGATTGTTTTATTCGCATTTTTCTCTAACATTCTAATTATTTTTCTCCGCCGAACCGCGAATCCTGTCTCTTATCCGTCCAGGGTCGACGAGATCCCCGGCGCTGGATTATTTCGGTCCCGTTACCACCGACGGACCCGAGACGAGACACGCGCGAGTAACCGTAACGCCCGATGATCGGTCGCGCGGAGACGTTCTGCGGTCGTGCACGTCGTACGATATTTACGGCTGCAGGCAGTTCCATCTGTACCCTATGGGTACTTAGGTCACGTGCTCAAGACAGGGGTGCTATTTCAGTTTTTTTAAGGGGGTGCAAGTAATTAAAGAGGCCAATTTTTCCCACCACCAGGCCAACATTTATGATTAGCAGTGATTACTGATCAGCCACGGTGCATGCACAACATTAAAAATTGGAAAACTGAAGGCCAAAGTGGCAAGGCCATGTATCAGTGACGCCTAGGCCAATAACTGAAGATGAAAAAAAATCAGGGTGTTCGAGTGCACACACTGCTCTCTCCCCAAATACCGCCCCTACCTCAAGGCCCCCATCTGGCTGGGGGCCTCGAATAATAGATATTATAATTTTTAATTTTAATCTATAACATATTAATACGACTGCCTATAAAAAAAATAATTCTTAATTGCAAAAAAAAAATGTTAGACAAATAGCAATGTTAAAATTTTAATGTCAAATAAATAATTAACGCTTAATTGTGTGCGATTGGTGTTTTTACTCACCTTTTTTTGGTTTACTAAAGAGACCCCTAATTTCCAGGTGCCCATAGTCTAAGAAGGCCTTGGCTGCAGATGCCCGTTAGTGTACGGCACCGCGTACGATTGGAGTTTCACTCACTAATACTCGAAAAAATGCACCCCATGTGTCGACTATGAATACCTTAACGAGTCCACGATTATAGCAAATGTCTAGTCCTACACCGCTCACGGTTATCAATAATTAATTTAACCTCCAATAAATCGTATACACTTATGTGTAGTATGACATCGGCTTTAGAATGTTTTCCACTTGTCGCAAGATAATTCAAAGATCTTTTTGTACGGCTGTTATTGAAATATTAGTAATGCCGTACTATCAAAATGGAATTAGAAGAAATGTTATTGAATTCGTTCAATTTATTTTATGAAATTTATTGTTTAGCCGAGTTCCGGATTTAAATGCAATACCAAATTCAGAACATACCAATTGGATCAGGGCTTAGTTACCGCATGCGTGCTCATATTAAATGGACCAGAGAAAATTTGTGGGTTGTGCGTATTGCAATATTAATCACGATCGAAAACTGACGTATGGTCTGGGTATAGGGCTTTATTACTTTTTTTCTCTTGCTATTATTCTTAATAATAACTTAGAAAAATATAAGTAGCTAATTGCTTTTTATCACTCGCCTTCATATAACAATTATCACGTGCTTCAGTTTTAACTTACATAATTTCATTATGTTAGAGTATTATATTGAAAGGAAACGTTTGTATCTAAAAAAAAAATTTAAACCAATTTCTGATATTGAATTTAGCTGTAGTGGCAGCCCGTCAAAACTATGAAACAATAGCTGTTTACTCCGAAGATGCTAACGTAAAAAATTATGTTTCATCACAAACATTTGCAAATAATGTGTACAAGAGAAACAGTATGAGAAATCGTGACTATATTCTTGGAGAAAGCTTACTCACGTCAAGGACTTTTTATGAAAATGCTATGGCATGATTGAAACATTTATTCTTTGTTTACGTATTATTTGCATTTCATATTAATTCCAAATCTGTACTTGACATATTAAAAAAAAAAAAAAAAAATACGATATCACAAGATATTTCGTGGAAATATCAAAATTCAGAATATTGCTCGAAATTGAATATATTATATAAAAATACTTCAAACGATTGCATTAGAGAGAGCCGTTGAATTAACTTTCCATTTTTCGTTCTTATACGTCCCGTATTCTTAGAGAAAAAAAAACAAACAATTTAATCAGACAGGAATGCATCGCGTTTCACGCAACATTATTTTTTTGAAATATAACACACAGTTACACTACGGAGGTGTAGGTTTAGAACTTTCACGTTGTGAACGTTCGATTGTTGACATTATTGGCCTCTTTCAGCCATCACTGTTTATTTTGTACTTATTATTGCAAGACAGCAATATTGATGCACAGCAGGTTTAAGTTCTTTTTTACATACAGGTGGTAACCATTCAGTTCGTTGTGCTCATTCAAACGTTGTTTCACACTCTTCGGAGACCCGAATACTAGACGAATTCTCGATGACGATACCATATAAATTAGTACAACGAATGCGTGTCCTAAAACACAATATTGTCGGCGAAATAAATCCGATCCGGTCCATTCACTGACTTTTCCAGGTGCTCGACAAGCGAAATAATGACGTTCGATAATTGATTCGCAATTGGGACAAAACGAAGTACTCCAACTCACCCTTTTGGCCGCCCTGACGTGGCATTGTTTTTGATACGGGTTATACCAACACTACAATGATAATAATTTACAGCCGACAAAACCGAGCATTTCTGTCCCGTTGAATATGCTTATAGGGATTATAGTTTCCTATAAGAACGTGCACCTGCTACGCAGTCTCGAGTTCTGTGCATGTGTACGTATGTGTGTGTGTCGCATTCACACAAGAATGTGTTTTCGGATAAGTGTACAAAAGTATTTTTACTATCATATCTACACGTAATCTGCTTGACTTCGATATAGATTTATGGAATAAAATACAATTATACGACTCGAAAATTATCGTACAGTAATATAATTGTTTATTTGACTTGGTCAACTGTTTTATTTTCGTAAATGTGTACATTTTTTTTAATGAAAAATTTAACCATAACGTTATTCGATAATAGTATTAGAGATACAAGCATTCGTCGATCTATAATAACGCACTAATGCATAATACGGATGCTTAACTTAAATTATTGATCATGGCATTTCATTATGATATATGAATTATTAAAAGGAAGTTATATGAAAATGTTATATGAAAAGTTGTATGAAAGTTATATGAAAAGTGTAAGAAGAATGATTTTCGAGTAAAATTAATTCTGTTAATCATTTCAAAATGCCTTTCAAGTTTTTATTAGACCGTGTCAAAAATAAACTGTTAATATTATTATAAACTATATGTATCATTTTACACTTGACTTCAGCATAAAAATATTTTCGAGTATCTGATTTAAATATATTCGATTTTTGATGAAAAAACTGTCAACGCTATTGCATTATTAAGTTTTTAGATAATTTAGCTGTATCCAGTGACAAATTGGAGAAATAGAATAATTTTCTATTTTCAATTTTTTTTTTAATTTTCATTTTACTAATTATTATATAATCTTCGAATATGTCGTTTTTGAATGACTCAATTGTGAACACAAAAATGTAAAAATCCAATAGTTGTAATCATTGGAAAACGTTTTTGAAAAAATTATTCAGGTTGCGTTTGTTAGAATAACTGTTTTCGCGTAGGTTGCCTCACCCGCAGCATCGATTTTTTTTTTTGCTCAACTGACGCCACGATTAAAGCTAATAATTATTTGATATTTGTATGTGGGACGGTAACAAAACAGCAAACAGTTTGTTAATAATTGGCTTATCGTTTCGGTTGTTGTTGCAGGGTGTGCAGTTGTCCCACGTAATGATACCGGGAAAGTGACAGTGGACTACTGGGGAGCACAAAAAGAAAGCCGTACTGTCTTCAACTGGATGACGACGATGACGTAGATGGCGGACACGGACGACAGGACATTCAAAAGGAGCTGAGAAAACCAAATATATAATATATTTATATTTATAATCTATATGAATATATTTATTTATAATTAAAGCTGTAGCCCACTTATGTATATGAAATTCGTAATAAGGGAAGAAAAAATAAAAATAATCATTGTATACCGAAATAACAATATTTATTATGGATTTGTGTAATAATAATAATATAGTGATTTTATTTCTATAAAATTGAAATTTGCTACCGAAAAAATTGCTTTATCTTTCTACGCGCGATTTGCGTGTACCATACTCCTTTATTTTCAGCCCACCCGACGCGTCAAAACAGAAGTTAAAAACAAATACCGGAGATCTCCTGATAATGGAATTGTAACTTAATCCAAACAAGCGGTGTAGTATTACGATTTTGTGTCTTCCTCCCTAGCTCTATCTTTTTCTACCTCGTCCTACGTCTCTCTTTCAAGCAATAATGTTCTCGTCGCGTAAGGGCTGCTACGACCGACTACTTCACCCCATACCGAAGAAGACGCCGACAGAGCTTAATTTTTCTACTATAATTTCTTCGTTCTTCCTTACTATTTTCTATACTTATACGCCACGTATAATAATGAGAAAAAAGAATTAATTTTCTTCTTTTGGAAACGGATTACGTTTTTAGATTGGTTACTGCGCAGTAACTCAAAAATATTAGATTTATCGTCACAATCAATAAAACTAGTTTTTTCTGTTTACTCCCTGTCATTTCATTACTCAATCTTATGCTCACAAATGTCCATCTAGTTTACAGTAAATAAATTAATTTCCAAAAACAGTAACACTACCGATAATTTACCAATCGTAATAAGTCCAACAGGTTTATAGAATGGTGTATAATTATGTCAGCGTTTCTTTTATTTTTTATATCAATTTCCACGTTCGATCTTAACGTTTTAAGAATATATCTCTGCTCCGGATTATAAAGAAAATCTGATATTTTATCATTCATCGTGTGTATTGATGTATTCCAAAGGCGATGAAAGTTTTTTTTTTTTGCACAATCATATACTTGGTAAATAAAACAACGTAGCTCATATTTTCTATTTCAAAATGTTTCAAAATTTTAAGTTTTAAGCACATTTAGCGGATGAATATAATTGCATATTATTTTTCAATTTTCTTTTAAAAATAAATTTGTAAATTAATATTGTGGCTCTCCAGTATTTGCCCAATCACTTAACATGCCCTGTCAGAACCTTTTAAATCTATAAGCTTAATGAAAATCATTACGTTTAATGTACTATAATTATAATTTTGACTTTACACAAAGCAATATTTTTATATAATTTTAAAAGTGTTTGTTTTTCTTGTACAGTTAAAATATGATATTTTGTTCATATTACATTTTATTGTGGGTTATATTCTAAAGTATAAGTTGATTTACGCTACCACATTATTACCAGTACATGGGTTTTGTATAAAATTGAAAATAAAAAATCTAGGTCATATAAATTAAATTTACAAAAAAATATTTAACATATATTTCTAACACAAATATTATGAAGTAATAGTGTTTTCAGATTAGGTTTAAGATTAGATAGAAATATTTCAACTCTAGATATTCTTAATCTTTTAAGTATGTATTAAATGAGTATTCAATGGGAGGATCAGTTTTAATAACGAAAATAAAGAGGCTGCTTATAAAATATTAAAATATGCAACACAAAAAATTAGTTATCCATCATTTGAGGTGCATATAAAATTGTTGTGTTAGAAAAACTTTTGGGGTACTTGAAAAAATAAAGTTTACTTTGCATTTTATTATTTCCCGACCAGATTGTTACATAATTTTCGGCAGAACAATTATACAATATTAGGTTCGATATTCCATCGTCCGCACGGGATAAACGAAGGACGTACTATATCGTGGTAACACTATGCTGTAATGTTTCAATAGCATATATAGTTGATATTATAAATTCAATGCACCTGCGGTATTATTAATAGAACCGTATCCGTTATTATAACTATTATTATTATTATTATTATTATTATTAATATTATTACTATTATTATTATTATTATTATTATTATTATTATTATTATTATTATTA